AGTTTTGAAATGACTAATGACTGGTCATTTGTCATTTGAGTCATTTGGGTCATTTCAAGTCATTTACCATCACTGATAAAGATTACCTTGTGAGTTTCTTAAAATTACGTTAATGCGAGCCAGCTGGCCTGAATTGGGGATCATATTAAAGATCACGCGCATTTGCGCGCAAACCAACAAACAATTTAATGCAACTTTTTAAAATTTAAAGCCTACCCGGAGCACCTCATTGACAAGATATAAACGTATTAAGTGTTGTGTAGTTTTCATTAAGTGCCACCCTTGTAATTGTAGTAGGATGGCCGATATATTTATTACGCAACTAAAAACGGGTGTGATAATTTGACAGTTTAATACAGTCGTAAAATTTTCAACTTTTTTTTTTTTTTTGTTTTAGGTACCCTTGCGACAATGGGTGTTGGATTGGGGTTTGCTATTGCTGGTAAGTTATGTAGTCAATGTAAATTGAAATCTGTTTTTTTTTAATAATCGTCTAACTTGTTATAATGTTATATTACTAGCCAAGGTGTATTATCCAACCAAAAGGGTTGTTGCGATTGTAGGTGATTCTGCTTTTGGATTTAGGTAAATATAAATAAATGAATGAACACTTAAATTATTATATATAAAGCGAGTTAAAATACATGATTTATATGTGTTATTAGTGCTATGGAGATCGAAACAGCAGTTAGAGCCAATCTTCCGATGATTATTATCATCATAAATAATAATGGTATATATCATGGCCTTGACATAGAAACATATAATGCTACATCCCTAAACGTATTACCATCAACTGCGTTGTTACCTGATGTAAGATATGATTTAATTGCTGATGCTACTGGAGGTAAAGGTTATTTTGTAAGAACACCACAGGAACTAGATAATGCTATGAAAGAAGCGTTAAAATATGACGAAAAAGTTATAGTAATAAATGTGATGATACAACCAGGGGGTCGAAAAAAATTGGTATGAATAGTAGTATTTTATATAAATACATTAAGACGATTCTAATATCACATATAATCTTAGGAATTTGCCTGGATGGCAACGACAAAGCCGAAATTATGACGGGCCTAGAGTTCCGAACCGGATAAAAATTATCATTCTAGTCTCCTTGCATTATTTTGAAATTGGGTATCTGGGTGAAAAGGTTGCATATAAACCCTTATACTATCTTATCTCTTAATCTGTAAGCTAATTCTAGGCAAATTTAATTTGTCTAGGAATTTATAAATTCCGATTTTTTAAAAATGAAATATTTAAACAAATTATTTTTTTAATAATATGTAAACTAAAAATTATATTATTGCAATGCAGTATTTGTTTTTAATTTTAAGAAAAAACATTAACAAAATTTTTTAAAAATTTTTATCTAAAAAAATTTGTATTTCTAATAATTGTAACCTTTTAAAAAAAATTATGGTTTAGGGTGTTCTTAATCAGCTCCCTCAATGTAATTTGAAAGTGATTGAGATGTCGCAAATAATTGAAGTGGTTATTGAAGTGTTCCTTGTAAGATATGCTGAAAGTTCGTTGTGCGAAATGCGAAATTTAAATTTATTCAATCAGAGTAATTCGATGAAAAGAAAAGATGGGATGCACCTTCATCAAATGATAACTCGGATCCATTGAGTGAGGTGCTTGAAAACTCCATTATAGGAATTATTTTAAATAAGAATAGAAATTATTTTAATAATATGCAGTATTTTTATATGAATTATATAAATTATCTATATCCCATAAAATTAATTATTTTTTTTTTTAGACTTGTTGTATTCGAAAAATTATAAATAATAAATGTAAACAATTATTATAATATATTGGTCGTCTCATTAAGCATGATACACCAACTTGATACATTTGAATTAAAATATAATTACACAAAATTTTACATATTAACTTACAATTAAATAAATATATTT